CATTACCTTTCCCTCATCAGCATCTTTGCAGATTCGAATCATCGCTCGCTCAACCTCTTCGCCGTTCTTGAAATGCCTGAAGAATCTGATGGAGATTGTCTGCCACGCTGACTGACCTGAAAACCCACTGCAGAGAGGTGCGGCAGATTTGACGAGTCTTGGCCACTGGGTCGCGAGTGAGCTGTAAGAAGGAATGAAGCTAATGTTGGGTTTTATCGCTCGATCCAGACGTCCACACCTGGAAAAGCAAGCTGAAAAGCTGCCCCGAATTACTCAATTTGATCGCGTTTGATCCGAGTTTCCAAATTGCAATTCCGATGCATTCCACCCCCCTCATTCGAACAGCCCGACTACGACTGGGAAGCAAGACGGCTATCATCATACGTCACCGTTGAACAAATCTCACTTTTGTTGCAAACGAGGAACGATAGAACCGATTAAACGAATCTCGGAGCAGACATACGCGATCAAGAGCAGCGTCTTTTGTGCTTCTTCTTGTAAGAATGCATTTGAGGAATCGGCAGACCTTCGCAAACAAACTGCAATTGCGGAGTCTGCAATCGCGTCCTGAAGCGAAAAAGACTCTAGGGAGGAGATAGGTGATAAATTCGTGATCGATTGGGACACACGCACAGTCAATGGATAACAGAATGCAAATAAGTCGCGTAAGCATATGAGAGCTGCCTTTGCCACGCTGCTTCTTAAACTCTCTGCGGACATGACAACTCCGTAGCCGATGAACGAAAACCCTTCAAGCTGCTCCACCACAGAAGAATGATGCTGGGCTGCGCGACGAAGGAGTTTCAGCAGGCCTGTTCTAGTCTCCCAGTCTGAATCTGGATCTCCTTGTTTTCTACCGAGGGGGCGACCTGTCGACTGGAGTCCCTTTAGAGCCCGTCCCAGAAGTTGCGCCGTCGGAGGAACCCTAAAAGGCTACAGGAAAAGAAAAGATTGCGGAGTATGGGTGGTAAACCCACTTCGATGGCTGGATCGGAAGTCACCATTGTGACAAGGTGGTCACAAATCTCCTTATCGATGCGATGGAAGGACGTGTCTGGATTCATGCGCTCTTTTGTTGAAGGGTTCCTGAAAACCTTGTCGCTGAATGGCAATCCGCGAGAACCAGCAAGGAGTGTCAAATGTGAGTTAGATCCGAGGGTAACAGAGGAGTCACTGGTTGCTTTCGAAGGTGAAATGCGTCTCTCGTCATTGCTGGACTGTGAAGCTTGTGAAGAGTTGGGTTTCGAGTGGTGCTTCGGGTTTTTCGATCCTATTGTCCATGGAGCCTGCGTCGTTTTGTTTTCGTTGAACATCGTCTCGGTCTCCCACTAGTTGCCGCAGAAAAATGCAAATAAGGCAACGCTCTCTCTGGAAATGGATCACCTTACTGTCGTTGGCACATTGCAGGCTGCTGCATTTGTCGGCAGGTCCATTGATAGCTGAAAAAACAGGATAGAAGATTGAATGATGCAACGACTCACTCTGATTTGGAGACTCGAAAGTGTCAGTTGAAGGAACGAAAAGAGGGGAGGAGCCAGCTTCACTTGAACAACACTTCAATGAGACTGGTTCATTCTTAACAAACGGGAACAAAATTTCCGTGCTGGACGCATCTGACTTCAGCCTATTCCGAAGCACTTCTTTTTCTGATCCCGGGAGAGGAGGGATGGGTAGCAACAACCGATCAGTTCTCTGATTGGCAAACCTTTGCGACCTGAAGGTGGAATGATCTGATGATGACTTCTTTACACGAAAACAAACCTCGTCGTAACACTATCAGCGCCTCCTCCTTGAAGAGCCTTTGAACCGGTCTGGATGTCTTGAAGGACGCCTCTTCCAATAGCAGGGAGCGCAGATGACCGGCGCCTGGAAATAGCAACTTTGTAGGTCAATCGAGATATTGTTACCTCAAGATTGGAGTGTTAACAAACTGCCTCGATGTGGAGCCGATGACATCTTCGGTCACCTTCGATTCTTTGAAGAGATCATCTGTTGCCCTCGACATTTTGGTCCCAACGCCAGAAATTGGATTTCGATAGTTCGGCGAAACAGCGAGAGTCGCCCTTCCAACAATAAGTTGGTTTCTCATCCCAGGAATGAAAACCGGACTACGGGAGCTCTCAAGTGGATCAGTACACTCGCTGTTGTTCTTTGAGAATGCAGCAAAATCACGAAATGACTTTGGGGTTGGAATTTGAGTCCGTGAGTGAGGTGTTGATAATTTGGACGGAAGTGTATTGAGCATCGATAATTTGAGAACATTCTCATCCGTATTATTTCTTTTTGTGTTCCTGTTGAATCGTCCTTCTAGGACTTCGTTCACTACCCGTGACTTGTCGTCTTCATGGGTGCCCTGATGATGAGAACGATTTGGCTGGAGAATTTTATCGAAGCTGACAGTTCAGTGAAAACTCACATGAGAAAGTTCCGCGAAGGTCGCTGTAAGGTTCCCACAACCGGAGTCTGACAATGGGAGTGTATTCAAACATATTCGTGCGTTTCCCTCTCACCCGAATCATTCGGCGTTTCTTTCATGTTACAAACGATGGCCGGAACCTCATCAAAGTTACAAACGATGGCCGGAACCTCATCAAAGTTAAATCTGTCTCCCGCCGCGGACGTTGCATCGAAGGGGGAGGGAAATGGCTGTGAAAAAGTATCCAAAGGATTCTCAAAGTTCGAAGTGCAAGTAGAAAGCTGATCATATTTTAATGCGCGACTTGGATCAAGGGAAAGACTTTCCAGCGGGAGACTGTTGTGCGTCGGTAGTTCATCTGATGATTTCACTTGGGGGAGATGGTCCCTTGTTGTGCTTCGAGGACGAGAAGGCTGTCGGAGTCTGGTTGTCATCGTTTGGGGCTGTTGGAGGGATTCAGAAGGAAGATGGGCGGGTTTGGACTCTCTCTCTGTGAAAATCAGAGCTTCACCCCGAGGCTGACCAGACCGTCGCGAATGGGGTATCTGTGTTAGAAATCTTCTTCCAGCGAGTTTGATTGAAGGATGTGGAGGAGAGATTTGAAGAACAGGAGAAACGTTGAGAGAGAGGGAAGGAAGACGAATGGGGGGGTTCGAGTTTAACACTTCGAGCTGGAGAGGCCTGAGATGAGAAGGAGCTTCCTGATCATGTGGATGGATCTCTACTCACCTCTCTTCTGGACTCGAAATATGTCTCGAGATTTGAGGAGTTGCAGTATTGGAAGTGAATTTTATCCTCGACTCTGATTGAAATCTGCGGGAATGCGGAACTTCCCCGGAGTTGAATGCCCATTTTGGGACACCTTTTTTATCCGACGGAGGGGTCGAAGGTTCCGACGTTTGCCGCGAGCGCAATCGGGTGTCGGTGCTAGCTCGCATCATTCCACTCGGGCGTCCAAGCGTCGATGTCACCGATCCCGCCATTTCAGCGGGAGTGAGCAAACGCGACGACGAGAACAGACTCGCTTGGGAAGATGGGATCGTCCCAACAACCGGAGAAACAGCAGGCGGCTCTCTTGTGCTTGGAACGATGAAACCTATTTTGCTCGAAATCTTCTTGGGAATAACAACAAGAGGACTAAAACATCCATCAGGTGATTTCGATCGGGTTGTTGTGTTCCAGGTGGGTCTCGTCTTTCTTTGTTTGAGGCTTCGGTTCTCCAGACAATCACGTTGCGCGTTATCGATCAATGAATTGTAGACGTCTTTCTCTGACACTTTCTCTTCGAACAGCTGAAGAACTTCTTTTGCAGCTTCCTTGATTTCATCCAACTTGTCGTCCATAGCGGTGACCAAGTAGATGGAAATTGTTTGCATTGCTGTGGCATAAGAATTCGTCAGTGTTCCTCTCTCGAAGGAAACTGCGATTATAAATTCGCCGATCACTGAAATCTGACGAGAAAGCGATTAAAAAAAAAGAATGAAGGGAATTTAAGAAGAAGAGGTAAAAAAGTTACCATGCTCAAGCGTAGAAGACTATTCCGATGGGATGAAAACTTCGCTAGGGTCTTGACGAAGCGACCCAATAAGTCATCATCACCATCATCATCTTCATCATCATAATCAGTGAGCGTAAGATTGTCCTACAGAAGAAAGCATAGAATAGTGAAGATGGTACAATGGTTAGATTTCACCAAGAGGTGACTAGCCACAGTCGCTACAGTGTTAATGATAGAGGTTAAGTAGCAGCAGCCTATAGAGCATCCACTTGACTTTAATAATTTACCAAACACTTGAAGATGAATCGAATTGTTTGAAGAGCAGCGTGACGAGCATCGTTATGTGGATGTGCAAGGAGCTCCACAAGCCTCTCTGTCCCTCCTGTCTCGATGACGTTCGATACACAGATCCGTAGCAGAGAAGTCGTGGGCAACATCCCTAAGACATCAACGAGTAAGTGGCATACTGTCGCCACTACAAATGCATCATAGCAGTTCAACAATTTTGACAGGCACAAAAACCATAAATGAAGTTGTGCTTGTGATTCCGTGGCAGATTCGAGCGTCGTCATAACGACATTAGGGGAGCTTTCGTTGGAGAGAGCGTGAGAACCGAGACTGTTTCTAGAGGGATCTTTCAGTGAGCTGTTCTTAGGGGAAAGATCCTGCTGTTCATTCTGTTGGTTGGCCCAGTCAACTGCCCACAGAAGCCGAAGCCTTTCAACGAGACGAAGTCTGGTGGTATTCGAAATGGTTGTTGAAGATGAAGACGAAAGGATCGCTTCTAATTTTCGTTTTAAAGACTCCGTTTGAGTAGGTGGAGTTTTCCTTGTTTGAAGTGATGTTGACCTGGTTGAATAACTTCCCAGAGATTGAACCCCATCTGACTTCTTCCGTGCGACGCGGCTTGGCGAATCCATTTAATTAATTCAAGACCGATCATTCAAATTCAGCAACAATAATACAATAATGCACGAATGCATTAATTGGAGTAGGCGAAACCATCTTGTATCAGTTTCGAAAAAAAGAAAAGAACAAAGAAAAAGCCATTTCTACTTCCTCTTGGATGAGATGTTTCGACGTCGTTTAAAATTGGGCATGCGTTCTGGTTTCTTGAGGGGCTGGTGCCGCTGGATTTTGTGGAGCTTGCGCCCTGCAAGAAGAAATAATGATGGTACTGTTAAACGAGCCGAGACTACCTGAGATAGCAGGAAGATTCTCAGGCGCGGTTGTCGAGTAATCAGGCTCCTTAGAAAGCTGCCGTGAGAGAATTTCGTCAATTCTGTATCTCTTGCGTGGCCTGAAATAGAAACAAAGTGAGGGAAGCGAGAAGGATCAATCTTTACCCTTGTCCCGAAAAATTCTTCAATGGATCTGTCCACCGCTTTCTTTTCCTTGGATTTTGTTTGTTTTCATCCTGCTGTAATTTCTGTACCGCCGATTCTACGGGTGTCATCGTGGTCAACGCTGATACTGAAGGTTTGAGATACGCTGGAAGATCTTGCAAATGACGACTGGAGGTGTGAGTCGTCTGCAGAATTCATAATAAAGAACCTCGCTGTCATGAGTTATACCAACCTGCCTAAATGCTTTTTTTAAAGCCCGTGCGTCGTCTGGATTCGCTTCGAAATGCTGTTTGAGTTTTTGGGAATGCAACACTTCTCGTTGCAGTTCTTGTAGCCGCAGAGACCCGACAGCCTTGGGTGTCACTGTTTTGAGTATGTCTTCTACTCGGTATCTGAAACAATCAATGTCCTTTAGATTCAACCCTAGCTGTTGAACCGCAGGTTGACCAGGATTCGTCAGTGACGAGCGCGATGCAATAATCTGCACGATCAAACAAAAAACTTCAAGGGGGGAACCATTGAAACCGAGTTGGTGGACGCAGACAATTCACCATAAATTTTTTTTTCTAAATCTAAAGGAGATTTTTTCTTCATTCTGATCTTACCTTCTCTAGAAGAGCTTCTTCCTTGGTGTCGTTGGAGCTGCACAAAGTTAAAGCAACACCCGAAGCTCCTGCACGCGCAGTCCTTCCAACGCGATGGATATAAGCTTTCTCTGTTTCTGGCATGTCGTAATTAATAACACATTTAACACCGTGTAAATCAAGACCGCGATGAACTCCATACGCTTGATCCTTCTGAAACAGAATTGTCACTCTGAATGAAAAAATACGTCTATTTTTTTTTTTACTTCACCTTTGATTTGCGACCTTTTGGAGATTTCTGTTCTTCGTCATCCGAAGCTGAATCGTCCATTTCCTCTCCATTTCTATTTCTAGCGTCCTTCTCCAAGAAATCGTCAGTTGCCAAGAGAAGTTGAAAAATGCTTTGATCAAACGATTGAAGAATGTTCATTCGTGAAGCAAAAGGAAGAGATCCGCAAAGAACGGCAGCTTGCATGGAGAACCGTTCCAAAAATAAGCGCAGAGAATACGCCCTGACAAAGCCGTAGAAGTATCCAGAGATGATAGACTTGTACCGAGGGACTAGAAGCTACGGAAAGGAATGCGTTCTCGTATGCCTTACCTTTCAGCAGTTGAGACGAAAACCAAACACTTCATGGGAACCAAACGAAGTTTGAGCAGTGAATACATAACCAAATACTTGTCCTTCCAGAAGCATCGCAGATAGAATTCGGATAGGGTGTTTGGTACAGAGTTCATTCCTCCAAACAACGCATTGTCTGACACCCCTTTCAAAGAGTCTTCTTCAAGTTTAAGAATCGCAGGATTGTGAAGCACCAGCGACTTCAGATGATCCACCTGAGATGGAATTGTGTCGCCGGCAATCAATCATCGATTGGCATATCCATCTTAGAGTGGCAGCTCGAGCTTACCTCGGAATTCAATGTCGCGGAGCACAGAACTGCTTGATAACGATTTTCAGTTGTTCTGTCACCCAAGATGTCCTTAAAAAGAACTTCGAGGTCTTGTTTGAAGCCTAGAGTCATCAATGCATCAGCTTCATCGAGTACGACTATCTGCAAGTTGGTTTTGAATGTTGATTTCAAATCTCCTAAATTTTTTGAACGATTTCGCCAAAAACTTTTCTTAGCTGTTGCTTTTATTGGCTGAATCGACTGCTTCGCTGATAAGTATGTCAGCAAAGATTTTGGCGTTGCGATGATGACTGTGGGAGGCACTTCACTGACGAGCTGGTTTAAGGATTCTGAAAGATGGCGAACTGAAATTTGAGAGCGGCAATATTCGCACAATTGCGTGCAAACCTCAGAGACCTGAGATGAACAGGAATCCAGTGAGAGAGTATACACACAGACTTCAGAGGGCAGGATTTCACCCTGCTATGGCTAATCAATCTTCGGGCTTTCACTCTCACCTGTACACACAGCTCTCTGGTTGGAACAAGCACACAAGCTTGTAACGGGGATGCTGTTTCAGACGTCTCGCCAGCAACTTTCTCCAGAAGACGCTGGAGCATCGGAAGACTGTAAGCAAGTGTCTTGCCCGACCCAGTACGAGCTCTTGCTAAAACATCCTTGCCCTGCAAAAGCAATGGAATTGCGCTTGATTGAACTAATGTGGGGTGTTTCAATCCGAGAGTTGTAACAACAGCCTTCGTGAGTCTTCTGTCAAGATGCCGCTCGCCAAACTCGGCGAAAGTCAACGAAAGATCTAAGAGACCGCCACCTTGATAAGACGCGTGGAGCTCCCCAGGGCTCGTTATCTCATCAGCATGATTTCCATCACTAGCATCGCTATCGTTGTCTATCCCGTTGTTGACGTCCTCAACCTTGGCAACATCCTGTAACGTTTCGTCTTCACTAGAGTCGCATGCATCGCTGACATCTTTCCCACGAATCTTCTTGTTCGGCAAAGCCGTTCCCAATCCATCGGATGGACGTCGTTTCACTCCCATGACGCAAGGCCTGATGCCAGTTGAGTTTGGGAAGGCAGGATAGCGGGACTGGTCCGTGATTTTAAGAGGTCTTAATGCAGAGGACGCCGTTGACTGACAAAATGGATCCTCAGCAAAGCGTCAAACGTTCGTCTTCAGTAGATCGTCAACCACCAAGGGACGATCATCACTACAGTCGAGGATACGGAGAGGACTGGGAGAGGCAGATGTATCAACGACCAAGGGGAAGGGTGCATGAGCCATACCATCAAGAATACATTCCTCCGTCCTACCGCCATCACTTTGGGAGACCGCCACCGTATTACCATCCAGATGGGATTCCACTGGAGCATCAGAGGCCTCGGGATTATGATGGATATCATCTCGATGTCGGAGGGAGGATCCCACCTCCATTCCATCACCAGTATCAAAGGGACAGATTTCCCCCACCAAGTTCTCGCGTTGTTGAGGATGTTAAATATCTTCCACTCCAGCCCCAGTGGCCAGTTGAAGAGAATCCCCCACAGCAAATCTTTCGTCCCTCTGAAGTTCCCAGTCAACGAATTGTTCCTCTCGAAAAGCACGATCTTATGACAAAATTCGTTCCAGTACGTCGCATCAAGTGAAGCAGTGTGACTTTTGTTTTTTTTCTCTTCAGCTCGGAGACATACGCGAACATCTCTCTCAAAGTATCATCGATTTGGCAAGATATATTTCCAGTCAAGTTTACCAACCGTCTTTCAGCAACGAGGAGTTCAAAGATGTTACAGATGACTACCGACTTCCAAACCTATCAGTGTGCTCTAATGACCGACGAAACGTTGAAACAAACATGTCGGTGATAGCATCAGTCCTCTGTGATTGCGCTGCTTTTCTGCCAACAAAATCGAGCGTTTATGCCTCGGTTGTCGCTCAAATTGGGGTCCACTCGACGCGTTTGCCAGATGCCATCACCCTCGCAGATGTTGATGCATCTATAGCAGCGCCCGAAGTTAAAGCTGACCCTTCAGATGAAGTTGCTTTAGCGCGTCGTGCAAAAATTGAGGAGTTCAGACTTCGCCGCAGTTTACTCAATTGTTTGATTCGGTGCATCGTCACTACTTGTACTGCCAGGCTCGATGAGTGCTTGGAACATGGACACATCGCAGAAGCAAAAAACTTACTTCGGTTTATTCTCGACTTGACCAATTGCCATTTAATCCACCCAGTAAGTCAAACAGTTTATCATTCTTTATTCATTCTGCGTTGTAGACCTCTTCAATAAGCTTGATTAATCACCTTCTATTGATATCAAGGCAAGCCTCTTTGAATGACCCCAAGGATTCAGTTTATCTTGAACCGCTGCTGGATATTGTCGCCAGCTCCCTTCCCTGGCTTTCACGACAAGCTTGTGAAATGGTGCCAGAACTGTTCAAAGAAACTTTCAACATGCTGATGGATCTTCTAGCAAGAAGACAAATTTCTGTCGCACCCCAAAAAGCATTAACAGGAATTTGGCCTGCAGAGGGTTCCATGGAAGGACACGAAGACACTCTAACACGAGCACATCGGGGATTACAGGACCTCAACGATTCAGCCCTCTGGACTTCGAAAGCTCTCTGGCGAATCTATCAAACCGGTGCGCTAGCGACGTCGTTGGCCCCGCACGACGCTGTTGTCAAACACCAGCTGCCCTCCCTGTCCGTCACTCTTCCACAATTTGCCAAATCGCTCGAACGAATCCGCGCGACTGCTTCTGAGATTGCTCTTGGTGCTGGCGTCCAATCCGAATTCCATCTTGTCGCTGAGTCGAACTTGGGAAAACATGATGAAGAATCATACGCTGCTGCCGCCGCCGAAATGGGTATTGGTGGAAGCTCTTATGGTTTGAATGGTTGTTGGAGACCTCGTACATGCATTACAATTTGGGACAGCGAACATATAGCGGAATTATTATCTGGAATTAGACCTCTCGAAATCCACGATCGCTGGCTGCTTGAGGAATTGTTCTTGTCTGTGCTCCATTGCTTCCGTCATACTCCAGAACTTTGCTCTGAAGTGTTACTGAGGATTCCTGTCACTCACGATCAGTTCGAGCCAATTCTTGTTGAAGTTCTCTTCAATGAAATGCTTCGATTGCCTCATTCCGCGGAACCTCTTCTCTTTTACGTCCGTCTCTTCAGCTTCATTTGCTTGAAGCAAAATTCGACGTATCGTTTTGTCGAATCAGCATTCCTCACTCTTTCGCGACAATCAAATCGTTGGGACTGTCAAGCACTCGAAGTTCTCGCTGAATTCCTCGGGTTGTGGCTCTCTCTGCTTCCTGATGGACCTCAATCATTTCCTCCTCTGGAGTGTTGGTCCCCTGAAGCAGTACGACGCGACGCTCGCCTGTGGAAGGAGCTGGATAGCGAATTTCTGAGCTCCCCTGATTCCGTCATTTCACTCTTGGATCGGCAATCACAAATCTCACATCAGCGCCTGCCATGCTCCTTGAAGTTATTCATTGGAAGGACAATGGAACGTTTATCGAGGGTTTTGTGGCATGGAAACTATTCATCCAAATTACCAGCATGGCTCCAACTCTACGTGCCAGAAGATTCTCAATTCCGATGCGGTTATGCGAAAAAGTGGGACAATCTTGTTAATATTGCGAAGCAAGAAGCTTTAGGTGGGCCAGTCCCAATAGAAGACTCAGCTGCCGAAGATGAGGATGCTAACGAAGAGTGCCCATTGGAATATTTGTTCTTTCGCAAAGTATTGCAAATTCGATTCGCAAGTCCACACCATGAAAAACTTAACTTGTTGCAGTTAGCACAAGTGATTTTCTACCGCTTGCTAGGAAAGCCGGCGTTAGCACAGATGCCTTCTGACGAGTACGTTGCGCGATTCGTTTGTGCTGTCGAACTCAAGCCGGCTCCCAAAACTGACGAGCATATGAGTAAGTAGTGCTGTTCAAAGGTTGCTGACGTGCATTTTGCGTCCTTATTGCGGCAGGCGGGGAAGTCTTTGACGTCAAGGCCGATGAAGAGGGTCCAGAAGTCCAAATGACCGGTTTGGTCGCCGTCTTGAAGGACGAGGAAGACGAGACGAAAATTGAAGACATTACGAATGACTCGAATACAGATCAACAAATGGAAAAAATCGAAGACGAAGTTGAAAAGGTTGAAGTGGATGGCGACAGTTCGATGATTGTTCCTCATGTGGATGTTGACATCAAGGACGAATGTAGGAAGGCAAAATGATGCACCTAAATGATGGACTATCTCAATTCTGTTCTGTTTCAGATGAAGGCCAAGCGGACGAGAAGCCATTCATTGGGATGACAAATGAACAGAAATCTGCTCATGATGAAGCTCTAGGGAAAACGATGAGCGAAGATTTTGTTTATTCAGAAGCTCCGCAGACCGGATGGAGCCTTTGTGCATTAGCAGAATTGGTCATGAAAGCAATATTGGGACATGGTGCAAAATCGCTCACACATTCAGCAAGAGTGTTGGATAATTACCGGCAACTTTTGTTTTGGTTGCGGTACGAAATCGTTTTCCACTCACTAGCGTGATTTATGTTTGTATGTTCCATTAATTTATGTTTGTGTGTTTCAGACCGTCGAGCCTCCGTTGTGAGCTTTCAGTTCCGAAAGATATCGAAGATGCAGTCAGCAAGACGAATGCAGATGGCGAGTTCTATTCGGCTTTGTTGCGGCCTGTGTTTTCATCTTGGAAGCAAGGCCCTGTCAGGTGAGAAAATGAGGCGAACAATGTTGCAGCTCTCTGATTCCCTTAGATGCCAATTTATCGTTGATAAGCTGGCTCGCATGGGAGTAATTCCCGTTGAAGAAATCCAAAGTTTTATTCTTAAACGTCTCTCGTTGAATCGGATAACTGAATTGTCGACTCAAGAAATTCTATTTCATCTGGTGCGCGAAGCTCTTCGTCTTTTATTGACTCAAGAGAAAGAACTGAAGATGCTTCAACGACGGAGGAGGTGAGCCAGTCAGCTTGATACCGAGGAAGCCATATTTGGTGAATATAGAATGAAGTATTGCTTCATTCTACAAGCATCACTCCACTAGATCACATTATCATACATCACTAATACCAGATTCAACCTCATCATTGATCTCATCGCTTTCTTCCAGATTCGAACACTGCGATGAGAAAAAAGTGACACAACTTGAAGAAGCTGCAGGAGGCAGTTACATTCGTATCCGAAGTTTGGTAGTGGATCATTTGGTGGATATGTGTCGTCGATTAACTCAATTAAGTTCGAGCGTTGTCGGTGGGATTGAAGCTGCTGACGTGGAAAATGACGAAGACGGCGGGATTGACGACATGGCACATGACTCTGTTGTAGTTGTAAGTTAATTCTTTAAATTGTTGTTCTCATCTCTCCATCTCTGTCAGGTTGGTCATCTTACGAAGCAGCAGCAAATCTTACAACGTTATGGCATTCAGAGGCTTTTGCATTACGGCCGTGCCTTCATTCAATTTGTCGATGTTCAAGAAGTTCAGCGCCAGGTAGGCAGAAATGCGTGGGTGTTGCTCCAGAGACCTTCCCTCCCTTGATCCATTGAATGGTCAAGAATTCTTCTTCATTTCCAAGTCTATATGTTCATCACTGAGACTCATACTTCAGAGATTGTTCTGTATATCAGGTATCGAGAATGAATCCTGAAGCAAATATTCGCGAAACTCTTGATGCCTTGAAGTTCACTCAAGATTTCTTATACCCCCATGGAATCTCTGAACACTTCCGAGGTTTGAAGAAGGACCCTCCAAAAGAAGAAGAGGCACAACAACAGTGTTGATATTATTCATGATTGAATTTCTTTTGAACATTAAAGGTGAACACGACCTTAAGAAAGGAATCTAACGCGCTGAGGAGCTATACTTTGAGTGACGAAGGAAACAACCATATCTCCAAAATTGTTAGACCTGACTTTTCTCACGACTGTCTCCTCTTTTGTATGCAACCCTTAGACGCACTACTTTCTTGATCTATAGCTTATCCATCAATGGACCAAACCAAGATCACTCCAG